GTTTTGTTCAAGAAGGAGGATCCAGGCAGGTGGTTGAGCAGATTGTTGTAGTATTTGCAGTATTTTGTGGTTTCTCTGTCCCTTGGTGAGATGGACAAAATGATCAATTGCTGCATTTCCGGACTGGTTCCCTCACAGCTGCCTCTGCAGAGGGGGTTTCCAGCCAGGTCTGCTCTGAAAACCATCAAAGGCCCTCATAGAGCTACTGCTTCAGCTCACTTTGGGTTTTGTGCTTTATGCAGGTCTAAGCAAACCACAGGCAGGCCTTTTTCCCCCACAGAATTCTCACCTCTGCAGCAGCTCTATAACTGCCAGAATCAAAGTCAAGGGGGCAGGGGCACCCTCAGGTTGTGGCTGCCACCTGGGGCTGGCCAGAGCAGGGCTGGGCAATGGCCATTGCTGTGCAGTGGGGCTGGGCCATGGTTGGGCCCACCCTTGGATTGACAGGGGTCCCCAGGATGTGCCACCCTGGGACAGGAACCCGGCCAGGAATGTACAAGGACATTTCTGGAACTGCCACCACCTGGGACTGGATCCCCCATGCCAGGATGTGTCACACCCTGGACTGGTTTGCTCCAGGTGAACTCCAGAACAGGGACCTCAGAGTGCAGAACCCCCATAGATGTGCTCCCGCCCCACGACAGAGACTGTCCCCCTTTCCCATCTGACTGTCAGCACAAACAGCCTCTTCCTTCTTGTCCAGGAAAAGGAAAGCGAAAGTGTTCAGAGTACGTGGGTTGTGCGGAAGAGCAGTGCCTGGCTCTGCGTCATGGTGTGCAGTGAGTGCGGGGATGGGTACGGGGAGCCCCCACAGCCTCCTCAGATCCCCTGCCTGGGTACCTCCGTGTCCTTCAGACACCTTTCTTGGATGCCCCTGCCTCTGCCCTGTGTCCTCTCACCCCTCTATCGTGTGACCGAATCTATGATATCCCCCATTACACCCATCCCCTCCGGTCCCTATCCCCATACCGGCTGCCAGCCTCTTCCTCCAGCCTCTGCCCTGTGTGTCTCCCCAGTGCCCGTGGCCAATGCCACCATCACCCTCAGTCCCCTGGCACACCAGTTGCGTCCAGGTGACCCCGTGACCCTGCGCTGCTCGGTGCAGGTGGGCTCAGCACCTGTCACTTTCACTTGGCTGCACAACGGGCAGGAGCTGGCCCGGGGTCCCTTCCTGGAGCTTGAGGACGTCAATGTGGGACACTCAGGCACCTACCAGTGCGTGGCCACCAACCAGCTGGGTGGGCACCAGGCATTCAGCCCAGAGCTGGCACTGAAGGTGACACCGTGGGGACACAGAGACACAGGTGGGGTTACACAGGGTCACCTGGGGGTGCAGAACTCCTGGGGTGATGGATGATTCTGATGTGCCCCTCTCTGTTTCTTGCAGTGGCTGTCAATGTCAGCAGGACCCTCCTGTTCCTGCTCCTGCTCCTGGCTGTCATCGGGGGCTGCCACTGGTGGCACCGCCGGGGTGGGTGACAGTGGATTGGCATGGGGGTCCTAGAGTGATGGGAAGCTCTCAGAGTGGGGGAGAGACCAGTAGCACCCAGGGCCACTGAGCTGAGGGAAACTGAGCCTGCAGTGACCTTGGCTGGGGGTCCTGGGGGCTCCAGGGGGCATTTGGAGGGTCTTGGTTGGGCTCCAAGGCCATCCCTGGGTGGGTTTTAAGGAACATTGGTGTGGCACTGGGAGCTGCAGGAGGGTTTGGGGAGCTCCTGGAGGGCTGTGCTCAGTGTTGGGGGATGTCTTCTGGGGTCCTGGGGGAGTTTGGGGGGTGCCCCTCTCTTCCAGGCTTGGGATTCTGGGAGCTCACATTGTGGGGGACATCATTGTGGGGAGACTGGGGGCCCTGTGGTGGTGCAGAAATTCTGGGGGTTTCAGGGGTGCTCAAAATGTCTGGGGGGGGGATTAGTGGTCCGGCTGCAGTGGGGATTTGGGTGTCTTGTGGGCAGTTGAAGCTGCTGAGGTCCTAGGAACATTCAGGGGTCCTGGTGTCCCCTTGGTCACCCCCTCCCCTTTACCTTGCAGCTGACAAGAAGCTCCAGGACAGGTGAGTGGGGGGCTCAGGCCAGGAATCCCCTTTCCCCCCTCCCCAGACACTACCCAGACCCCTTGTTATCCCCACAGGACCCCCCTGGATGAGGGGGCAGTACTGGACCCCCACCAAGGGGGCAGGGGTTTTGTTCAGGGGGCACACAGGGACATGTCACCCACGGGTGTCACCTCCCACCCAGGTCCCCACCCCTGGTGTCACTTTCAGGGCCCCCATGGGTGTCCCCTGGTCCTGCCCTACCTCAGGATCCACAAGAGACCAACGTGGAACTCTCAGGACCCCACGAGGGACAGCGGGACCCACGTGACAATGAGAACGTGCTGTGACACTGGGGACACTGGGGGCACTGGGGGGCATTGATTCCCCTCTGGGGTCCCTTCCTTCTTCTTCACAGCACTCCACGGGGCTCCTCCTTCTCTGTCCCAGTGCCAGGGGTGGCACACGTTTTTCACTCTTATTGTTCCCAAAATGCAGCTTTTTGAATAAACTGTGTAAGAAACAAGGGTCACTCCTCAAAATTTGTCAGTGTTTAATAAGGGATAAAAGGGACAGTAAACAGGGTGCTGGGTGCTTGGCATCTGCCAGAGGCACATAATTAACTACAACAATTCTTCTTATATACCTGTTCATTGTATTGGTTAAATACATATGCAGGAGGGTTATACATATTCAAACATTCTTTCCACTTTACATGTTCTGGGAATCCTTTTGCTTGGATTGACCCTTGATTCATTTTCATGAAGTAGAAGCCATACTGCAGAAAAAATTGATATATTTGGTGTCCTCACAAGCCCCCTGTTCTGTTCTGTGGTTTGACTGTCCTTGATAACTGAAGGGCCAGTGGTAAATTCCTTTTTGCAGTCTTTCTTTTGGTGTTTATTTACTTGCTTCATTTCAATGTTATCTTATCATACAGATAAGATCTTCCAGCAGTACATTAAATCAACATCAGCTATTTCACAAAATTATCTGAGTTATTCTCACCATTGTCACTTAATTACACAAATAAAGGCATTAGCTACTTCTGCAACAGTTAATGTTGTAAAACACAGCACATATGCTCTATCTTGATATTTTGGGAGAGTCTAATCTATACTATATTTATTGTGCTAAAATAGATATTCTAGACAGGGATTAGGGTAAAAAGGCTGGCAAGCCGCAGTGTATCAAAAGCAGTTAAAAAGAGATTACAAAGAGTATTATATCAAAATAATTTGCAAGAACCAATATCCTATTGAAAGCCAATGACTACACTGTTATTCATAACAGGGAGAAGGTGTATTGAAGGGAGTGTTTGATATCTCTTTATCCTGCTCTGATTTTGTCAGCAATAGATTCAATTCATATCTCTAATTCTGAGGCAGTTTCACCCGTGGCAGGATTTGATGAGTGATCTCTCCTGGTCCTTGTCTCAACCCAGGAACTCTTTGTTCAATTTTCTCTCCCCATCCAGGTGTGGAGGGCAGGGAGAGAGCAGCTGTGGTGAGTGTGGGGCACCCAGCCACTGTCCACCCACGGCACGGCAGGGAGGAGGAGGTGGGTCTAGGTCAGGTTGTTGAGCAGATTGGTGTGGGATTTGCAGTAGTTTTATGGTTTTCTCAGTCCCTTGGACAAAGGGACAAATGATCAATTGCTGCATTTCCGGACTGGCTCCCTCACAGCTGCCCCTGCAGGGGGAGTTTCCAGCCAGCCCTGCTCTGAAAACCATCAAAGGGCCTCGCAGAGCCACTGCTTGGGCTCCCTTTGGGCTTTGTGCTTCTTGCAGGGCTGAGCAAACCACAGGCAGGCCCTTTCCCCCACAAAATTCTCACCTCTGCAGCAGCTCTAAAGCTGCCAGAATCAAAGCCAAGGTGGCAGGAGGCCATCCTCATGTCCTGGCTGCCCCCTGGGGCTGACCAGATCAGGGCTGGGCAATGGCCATTCCTGTGCAGTGGGGCTGGGCCATGGCTGAGCCCCACACTTGGATTGACAGGGGTCCCCAGGATGTGCAACATCTGGGACAGACACCTGACCTGGAATGTGCAAGGACATTTCAAGAACTGCCACTCCTGGGACAGGATTTGTCCCATGCCAGGATTTGTCACCCCTGGGACAGGATTCCCCTCAGGACAGGCCCCCCTGCATGTGCCCCCGCCAGGAGAGAACCCTCTCTCCTTTCCCATCTAACTCACAGCACAAACAGCCTCTTCCTTCTTGTCCAGGAAATAGGAAGTGAAAGTGTTGAGTGGGCACAGTCCAACACCCCCATCCCCAAACACTCCCCACCCTTCTCTGCACCCCCCACACCCCATTCTTCCACTCCTCTGGGTCTCCCCATCCCGTTTCCGGCTCAGGTGTTCCCCAGGATCATCAAGGCAAAAACTGGGGGGTTGTGAAATTGAGGGGTAAAATGATGGAAATGGAAATAAAGAGGGGAAAAAGCCCCTGGGGGCCGAAGGGGCACAGATGCGGAGCACCTCGGAATCTGTCTGGGGTGATGCCGAGGCCAACAGCACCATGTGGGGGCTGTGCTGGGTTCTGGGTCACCCCAACATATGAGGCAGGCAGGGAAGGGGCTGTGAACCACAGGCCCACACAGGCACTGCCCATCTTTGGGACCTCCATTGCCCTGGAAATCAAATCATGGGAACCCCATTCCTTATGTCCCACCTTGTCTGGGACCCCCATCCCAGGACTGCCATTCCCCAGGATCTCCACGGCCCAGGACCCCATTCCCAAGGAACCCACTCCCATTCATTCCATCCCCTACAACCCTCCTTCCCCCAAGAACTTGATTCTCCCAGGACCCTCATGCCCACGGGACCCCCCCATTACCTCAGCATCCCCATCTTCTAACCCCATATCCCTGGAGCCATCGTTTCGCTTGGGACTCCCATCCTTGAGTCCCACCAGCCCTAGGGACCCCCATTCCCATTGCAACCCCATTCCCACTGACTGCCCCTGTTCAGGACCCCCATTCTCAGGGACCCCATCCCTGGGCACCCCTCATTCCCCTGGACACCCATCCCTACCTCCACAAGACCCACTGAACCCCTGACCCATGGCAACCCTATGTCTCACAGTGTACCACCCACACTTTTCTCCATCCTGTCCCCACCCTGCCCACAGCCTGTGCCCAGCTTGGGGCCACCCTGCCCCCACCAGGTGCCACCTCCATATGAGGGTGAGACCTGACCTTGCTTCCTTCCCATTTGACCAAAGAGCCACCAGCCAAGGGACAGCCACCACTGGCAGCGAGTGACAGCCAGTCCTCATGGCTGGGGACAGCGGGATGGCCGGGAAGGTGGCGCTGCTCCTGTGGGGTGAGTGCCCCGGGCACGGGCCTGACAGCCCAGGGAATAGGGAGGTGAGGGGGCACAGGGGGCTGCAGGGTGACCTGAGGTCCCCAGTGCCAGCAGGGCATGGATCCTAGTGTGACCACCAGAGTTGTGGGGTGGCTTTGGGGACAGGAAGTGGGGACAGGAACAGTGGAACAGAGATGTGGGGACAGGAACAGTGGGATGGAGATGTGGAGACCAGGATGTGAGAGAAGGAACCTTTGGGCTGGGGTAGCTGTGGGGACAGGGACACAGGGATGCAGGGATGCAGGGACAAGGGACAAGGGGATGAGCAACCTGTGCTTGGGCCATGGGGACAGGTGCCAAAGGAGTGGGATCATGGGCACAGGGCCATGGGGATGTGGCTGTCAGGGGTGACTTGAGCCAGCACGGGGTCCCTATGACTGAGCATGGCTTTGCTGCTGTGTCCCTGTCCTCGAGACATCTGTGCCACACCCATGTCCCCACAGAGACCTTTTGGGGACAGCCCCCAAAACCCATGTTCCTGTGCTGCTGTCCCTGCAGTGCCACCCCCACTGAGCCCTGTCCCTTCTCCCTTCCAGCCCAGACCCTCGGCCTGGCTGGTGAGTCCTTGGGGGATGCCATGTCCCCACCCCGCTGGCCCCAGCCCCACACTAGCCCTGGCAGGCTGGTGTCCCCTGTCACCCGCAGGTGCCCAGATCACCCAGCTCCTCGTGGAGCCCCCCTGGAGGCCGGCGGTGCTGTGGGACTGGGTGACACTGACCTGCCAGGGCTTGGGGACCCCCGGTGCCACCACCTGGTACAGGGATGTGTGGCGCTGGGGAGTGGAGGGAGGGAAGAACGTCACTGTCATTGAGAGAGGCACCTACAAGTGTGAGAGGCCAGGCACCAGGCTCAGCCCCCTTGTGAGAGTCTCAGACGGTGAGGGGGGTTTGGGTGTCCCCAGCCTGGCACCCACGGGGACTCCAAGGGCTCTGGATGGGCTCTGCTCCATAGGTCACCTCCTATGTGACCCAAGCCTGTCTCCTGCTCTCATCCCAGTGCAAGAAGACTTCTCTCTCACAATGTATGGCCCCTGGTTCCTCCTGGTGCCATTATGACCTTCTGATGCTCCTGGTGTGACAGGTCCCCTCTGTCCCCAGACTGGCTGGTGCTGCAGGTGTCAGCACGGGTGCTGCTGGAGAGGGACACAGTGACACTGTGCTGCCGGGGGTGACAGAGTGAACGACTCACAAGTGTGTACTTCTACAATGAAGAGAAGCAACAGACTGAAACCCATGATGGGGAGCGAGCCGTCCCTGTCCCCCCTGGAGCTGAACCACAGCGGCCACCACTGCTGCCAGGGCTATGTGAGCAATGGGGCATTATATTGGAGCAAATCAGAGCTGGTGACAGTGACAGTGTGCAGTGAGTGCAGGGATGGGGACAGGGAAGCCTGACACCCTCCAAGTGTTTCCCCAGTACTGCCTGAATCCTTCATCCCTCCCTTTACTCCTCCCTGGCTCACCCACAATTTCCCAAGTCCCTCTTGCTTTCCCCCAGGACTGCCCAGTTCCCCCTGAAGATCCCTCATCTCTCTCTTTGTCCTCCCCAGCCACCCCTGGATTCCCCACTCCTTTCAAGGTCCCTGCTCCACCCTCTTGTCTCCCTTCCTTCCCTGCCTCCACCCGCCCATCTCTAAACCCCAAATCCTTTCCTGAGTCTCCTCAGTCTCTCCTGTGGTTTCCCATCCCTGCCTGGCTCTCTCCCCCTTTCCATGGGATCTCCCCATTGTCCCCATGTCCCAGCATGCCTCCCAGGGTCCCCTTCTGCTCACTGGGATCCTCTCTGCTCCCCTCCATTCCCTCATCTTTCTCCTCCCTTGTCCCCCACCCTTCCTGAGTCCCCAATCCCTCCGCTGTTCCCCCACAGGGGTCCCGCCTGTGGGGATGTCCCTGTCGGTGCAGCCCCCCGGGGGACAGGTGGCACTTGGGGACCGCCTGGTGCTGAGCTGCACGGTGGCTGCAGGGACAGGTCCCCTGTCCTTCTCCTGGCACTGAGAGGGCTCGGGGGCACTGCTGGGTACAAAGCACCAACTGCAACTGCAGCATGCTGGGGACAATGCCAGCGGCCAGTACCGGTGCCAGGTCAGCAACGGGGACAGCGTGGCTGAGAGTGAACCCCTGAATGTCACCGTCCTGGGTGAGCAGGACCCTTGGGCTGGGGGTGACCCCACCCATGGCACCCCAATACCACCTTTCCCAGTGCCAGCCCTGTCTGTGTCCCCGCAGTGCCCGTGGCCAATGCCACCATCACCCCAGTCTCCTGTCACTCCAGGTGCGTGCAGGTGATCCCGTGACCCTGAGCTGCTCAGTGCATGTGGGCTCAGCCCCTGTCACCTTCACCTGGATGCACAACAGGTAGGAGGTAGCCAGGGATGCCCTCCTGGACCTCGGGCACATTGAGTTGGGACATTCGGGCACCTACCAGTGCATGGCTACCAGCCAGCTGGGACAGAATGGGCACCGCGTGTTCCGGGCACTCAGCCCAGAGCTGGCCCTGGAGGTGACACCTGGCTCAGCCTGGGTCACAGGTGGTGTCACATGGGGTCGCTGGGGTGTTCAGGAACGCCATCGTTCAGGGTGACCCTGATGTGTCCCCTCTGTCCCCAGCAGTGGCTGTGAATGTCGGCAGGACCCTCGTGTTCCTGCTCCTGCTCCTGGCTGTTACTGGTGACACCGTGTGGGTGGCTGGCAGTGGGGGAGGATGGGGGGTCCTGCAGTGAAACGAATCCCCCAGAGTGGGGCAGAGATCAGGGATCCACTGGGAATCAGGGCTGCAGTGGGGATTTGGGAGTCCTGTGGGTGGTTGTGGCTGCTGAGGTCCCAGGAAGTTTCAGGGGTCCTGGGGTCCCCCTTGTCACCCCCTCCCATTTTACTCACAGCCTTCAAGGAGCCCCAGGACAGGTGAGTGGGGGGCTGGGGTTGGAACCCCCTTTCCCCCTCCCCAGACACCACCCAGACCCCCTCTTTATCCCCAAAGGAGTCCTGTTGAGGAGGGAGCAGTGCTGGACCTGCACCAAGGGGGCAGGAGGTGCATTCAGGGGGGACACAGGGACACGTCTCCCATGGGTGTCACCTCCCACCAGGTCCCCACCACTGGTGTCACTCTCAGAGCCTCCAGGGGTGTCCCCCAGCCCTGCCCCACCTCAGGATCCACAAGTGACCAGTGCGGAGCTGTCGGGACCCCATGAGGGACCTCGGGACCCCCATGACTACAAGAAAGTGCTGTGACACTGGGGACACTGGGGGGCACTGGGTGTCCCTGCCCCAGGACACCCCCTGTGTTTCTTCCCACCCCAGCTCCCATGGGTGCCCACCATGCCTGGGTTTGGTGGTTCCAAACTCCAGAGCACCCCATTCAGTGCTCCCAGTGCTCCCAGTACCCCCAGGGGCTCCCCATTCCCTCCCCCAGTGCCAGTGGGCAGAGGACTCTTGTTCCTCTTATTGGACTCGAAACGCTGTTTTTTGGTGAAACCAGGAGAAATGGGTTTTGTTTGTTCAGCTCTGCCTGGTCCGCTCAGGAAGGAGGGTCCTGGTTAGGTTGTTGAGCAGGTCCTTGTGGGTTCTGCAGGATTTTTGGGGCTCCCTCAGTCCCTTGGGGACAGGGACAAAATGATCAATTGGGGCATTTCCAGACTGGTTCCCTCACAGAACGAAAGAGCTGACCCTCCCTGTTTCTCCCTTCTTGGTGGCACCAGCCACGGGCTCGGGGACCTGCGGAAGTTCTGCACCAATCCGGCAGCTGCTGAGACCCTCAGGCCCACCCCAGCTCAGCCCATGCCCACCCCAGCCTTGCCTGGTGCCCCCCGGTGCCCCCGTTGCCCAAACCCCACACCCAAAGCTCTCTGAGCGGTGTCTGAGCCCCAGAGCTGCTACAGAGCCCTGGCTGGGGGCACTGGAATCATCCTGAGAGCCCCAGGAGCCCAGGAGGATGCTAGGGATGTCCCCAAATGCCACCTTAAAGGTCACCCCATCCCCGCCCTGCCCGGTGCCCCCCGGTGCCCAAACTGCACACCCGGTGCTCCCGGAGCGGCGTTGGAGCCCCGGAGCTGCTGCAGAACCTCGGCCAGGGGCACTGGGAGGGTGGAGGATTTGGGGATCCTGAGGAGGAGCCCCTGGTGCTGCAGGAGCAGGGTCCTGCCCTCCGGTCACTGTCGCCAGTCGTGGCCGCCACCGTGCTGTGGGGACCGGTGGTGGCGATGTGTCCTGAAGTGGGGATTTTGGGGTCCCACCCCGTCCTTTCCAGGACACCCCCAATCCCCCATCTCCCTGTGGTTCCAGGGCTGTTTGGGACGTTTGGGACAGCGCCGCTCGTGCTGGGGGCCGTTGGGGACAGCTCGTGACAGCCGCTGCCGCTCCCCACAGCCGGGCCTGGCGACAGTCACGACATCCACCAATGGTGACAAGTGACAGTTGCCCCTGCCCGGGATCTGCCCCCCACCATCCCAGGGACACCCCGGGGTCCCGTGTCCCCAAACCCAGCGGGTCCCATGTCCCCCAAAACCCTCCTGGGGACACACCGAGGTCCAGTGTCCCCAACCCCCCCAAACCTCCCGGGGACATCTCGGTCGCCCCAGACTCCCCCGGTCCCTGCTGTCCCCGTTGGGCTTGGCGGGGACTCGGCGGGAGCTCCGGGGCTCAGAGCCCGCCCGGAGAGCGCCGGGTGAGGGGTTGGGCACTGAGGGGGCACCGGGATGTGAACCGGGCAAGGCTGGAGATGGGGGGATTTGGCACCGGGTGTGGAGTTTGGGGCACCGGGAGGCACCAGGAGACACTGGGGGGCACCAGGCAGGGCTGAGGAGGGAGGATCTGGGCACCGGGGGAGATTTTGGGAGGATTTCTGGGAGATTTTAGTGTGATTTGGGGGATTTGGAGAGTATTTTGAGGTGATTTGGGGGGACTTTGGGGTGATTTGGGGGATTTTTGGGGGTGGTGGGGAAATTCAGAGGGGTTTTTGGGGTGATTTTAGGGGATTTGGGGGCAATTCAGAGGTGATTTTGGGGAAGTCTGGTGAGATTTGGGGTGATTTAGTGTAGATTATGTGGAGTTTAGAGAGATTTTGGGGGATTTAGGGGATATTTTGTGCGGAATTTTGAGGATTTTCGGGTAGTTTGGAGGATTTGGGGGGATTTAGAGATTTCTTGGGATAGGGATTTTGAGGGTTTTGGGGTGATTTGGGGTTGAATTTGGTGGATTTTCAGGGGATTCTTATGGTATCGTGGGGGTGATTTTTATGGGAGTTTTGGGGGAAATTTTGGGGGGATTTTGGGGTCTCACCCCGTCCTTCCTTGCAGCCCGTAGGCGCCTCCAGCCCCATCGTGCTGCTCCAGGATATCACCGCTTCCTCTGGAGCACTGCGCTCACTCCGGGACAAACCCAAAACCATCTGGGTCATCACCAGGGATCTCATCCGGGAGCTTATGTGAGGGTCCCAAAATCTGCCATTTTCCCTCCAAAATCTGTGATTTTCCCCCTCAAAATTCAGGATTCTTTCACCGAAAATTTGGGATTTAGGGTATTTTTCCCCAAAATTTTAATTCCCCCCCCCCCTCCCCCCAAATCTGAGATATTTTTCCCCTTGTCCCTGATCCCAGTCCGTGTCCCCCAGAATTCCCAGGGATCGGTCCCCGGCCTCGCTCATCATCGGCACCGAGGAATTCCAGCACATCCAGGAGGAGGCTCAGGCTCCGCAGCAGCCCGTGGATCGGCTGCGGATCCTCAAATCCCGCCAGGACGT